TTTGTTTTTTTTGTGTGGTGGGGGTGGGGGACCCCCGGCGGGGGGGGGGGGGGGGGGGTTACATTATTTGGCACTGAGAGTCCTGCACCTCAATGACCAGGAGTCCGCTGTCAGGGACAAAGTCCTGCAACCAAGTTACACCTCCCTTATTCTATGTCACAACTGTTATATGTTCTTGATAATGATTTCTAACCTTCATCAGCCTGACCATGGTTCTACCTCTTTTCCTCGCTATCCAAAATACAAAAAACATTTGGTTTGTAGTTCCACTTTCAGACACTCCATGTTCAAAAGGCTGATTCACATAACTGGCCCAGTGATACACTCACCTTGCCTAAGCTTCTTGGTGATTGACACCTGACATTTTATGCATTTCTTCATTCTTCTGGAACATTCTGCGGAAACAAGAATACATCGGATCTCAGTCATGCTGGTAACTGCTATACCACCATAGTTTACAATGAATCTAAGATTTAGCAGCAACCTGGTCAAATGGGCTGTGCTCATTCTTAGTCAATAGTAGAGCTTGTTGCAGAGCCCTCTAGCGGTGACATGAAGAAAGACTTCATCACTTTCTGCCTCCTACATTTTTTTTCATCACTATACAGTATCTTATTGTGCACAATGGCAACTATGATACTAAAGTGGCGGGGCTTCTGCATTGGGGTAGACAGCTGTGGCCCTGCAGAGGTTGGACTCGGGGTGTAACCACAGACCAGGTGGGCCCATAGCAAAATTTGTATTGCCTCCCCTGTAATAGCATGTTGATGGTGGCGGGTAAGCAAGTGATTTACACTCATCCTCGTAGCTAGAGCTGGCGTGAGACAATTGGTTGGGAAGTCAGCGAACACATACCGTCACTCGCTCACTTCCCGATCATCTCCCTGTAGAGAGCAGTGACTGTCACCACTCTCCGCAGGTATTCCCCCCCCCCTCCAATCCTCTAGCCCTGACTGGCGGAACGGATGGTGGAGGGGGCGGGCAGAGCCAGCTGTCACTCACGCAGCTAGGTGGATCTCAACAGTATTGTCGGGATCCATCCCAGCTGCAGCGCTCTCAGTATATAGCTCGCTATACCCCGCTATACACTGAGCTTTGGGTCACGGGAGGACATATACTAACTAAAGAGAACTATGGGATAAAAAGTTTACCCCATAGTTCTCGTTTAAGTAGACTGCCCTGCAGTCTTAGCATCGTCTCTAACTACCTCTCTACGTACATAAGTGAATATAGAGTGTCCTAATCCCATGCCAACAGCTCCTGCCAGCCCCTTAGGGAATTGTAAGACTTCTTGATCATGTGATCACTGTGCTTGGCTGTCACAGCGCTCACATGATTGAGTCATTACACACTGCCCACCTTCCTGATTGGCTGGGCAGCAGGTAATAACTCGCTGCCCGGCTTCCTGATACCAGAAGTTCGGGTATTGGGCTAGGCATTGAAGCATTTGGGCGAGTACGAGTACAAGGTACCCAGCTAGTGCAGAAGCCTTGGATGCCAGAAACCAATTGCTCTTCAAGAGAGTGAAGATCTGACTCACCATCTTCTGGAAAAATCTTAAACATCATCTTTTACAGGGTGGTTGTAATTCAATCCATGTCCTCTAGTGACAGAGTTGTTTTAAAAGTGACAAACCAGGTCACATGTCCCAAACCGGGTCACATGATCCTTGTTGGCAGCCTTGATTGTGGAACTATCCTGTAAAGTTCCCCAGGTGAGCAAAAATGACTAACACTCTAGACAGTGGTAACATCATCTCAACATGGCTTAAACAGGAACCGCCATTACACCCCATCCGCCATTATTGCAGGTCACCCACCCCGCCTCCCCTGTTAAGAAGAGCAACTTTTCTTTTTGCTAGTACAAAATGTACATATTCATTCAATGGCAGAGGGACTGTACACAGGGCACTCATGTGTAGAAATATGCAAAGCATAGGGGTCTTTGCCTTTACTGCAAGTGTTCTTACCTTCACACACTATGCTGTGATGACATGGAAAGAAGCTGACAAGAACTGCAAGCTCTGAGCACACCAGGCACTCGGCAGAACTAGTAGAAGTGGGGAGGCTTAGGTTGGTCATGGTGTTTGGGGTAGTGTGTACCCTGCGAAGGGTGCAGCTGACGGTAGAGGAATCGGATTCAGCTTGTTGTTCCCTGGAAGTAAAAGAACAGGAAAAGGCAATATAGCATGTTATTTGAAATGTCACATACACTACCCTTAAAAGACAAACATAGTGTGCATATAAGGCATAGAGTGCATATAAGGCATAGAGTGCTATGGCATAGTGTGCATATAAGGCATAGAGTGCTATGGCATAGAGTGCATATAAGGCATAGAGTGCTATGGCATAGTGTGCATATAAGGCATAGAGTGCTATGGCATAGTGTGCATATAAGGCATAGAGTGCTATGGCATAGTGTGTATATAAGGCATTGTGTGCTATGGCATAGTGTGCATATAAGGCATTGTGTGCTATGGCATAGTGTGTATATAAGGCATTGTGTGCTATGGCATAGTGTGCATATAAGGCATAGAGTGCTATGGCATAGTGTGTATATAAGGCATAGAGTGCTATGGCATAGTGTGTATATAAGGCATTGTGTGCTATGGCATAGTGTGCATATAAGGCATTGTGTGCTATGGCATAGTGTGTATATAAGGCATTGTGTGCTATGGCATAGTGTGCATATAAGGCACTGTGTGCTATGGCATAGTGTGCATATAAGGCACTGTCACCAGAGAGTGAGGGAAAATCTTCCTAAAGTTGTCATACCCAGCAATAAACCTAATACACAAGTTCTAACCCTTCTCGATGTCTCCCAAAAAATGTTTTCGCTGGACATGTTAAGAATGCTTAGCAATATCCTAAAGTTATCCTTTAACTGCTTGAAGACCAGGTGTTTAGATCCCCTACCTGGCCAGGCCATTTTTCAGTGTTCAGCGCTGCGGGACTTTGACTGACATTTATTCCGTCACGCAACGCTGTACTGAAATGAATTTTATACAATTTTTTGGGGACAGATAGAGCTTTATTTTGGTGGTATTTAATCACCACTGCGGGTTTTATTTTTTACTATATTCAGGAGAAATTACTGAAATTTTTTTTTTTACATTATGCTATAAAACAACTAATATATTACCCACTTTTTTGGTAAAATATAAAAGATGGGGTCACGTCGGGTAAATAGACACCAAACATGTCAAGGGTAAAAATTGCGCGCACTCGCAAAAAACTAGCATACACCCCAAGCAGAACTAGATTTCAGACTAGGTCACACAAGTCTATGGCCTCGGGTGGCACTAGGCTGCTGTGGTCACTTTGAAATCTGCCCACCCACTGACATAAGACTCAGAGCCTAATAGTTGTCACAGAACCACTCAAGAGGGATTGTTGGTTGTGCCAGTATGGTGCCGAATTTGTCTGAGGCCATGTTGATGGTTGTGTCAGTACAGTACTGTGTTTACAGGCATGTTACGGCTTGCATCAAATATGTTACAATATTGTAAATCTTGGTATATTAGTTTCGATTCTGTGTGTGTGTGTGTGTGTTGGGGGTCCAATGTAGTAAGTACCGAGGGGAGAAACATTTAAATCTGGCTCTTCTCCCAATGTTTAATTGTAACCTGTCCATGATCCTGGCTGATCCATAATGTGTGGACCATAGACAAATGGCCCCAGGCTATGTTGTGTGATTGGCTAGGAGGAGAGAGGGATGGAGCAGCGCTGAGGTCTAGCTGTAGCAGGCATGGAAGTTCAGCAGGAGCCGGACCTTCACCTGCAGGTATACTGATGATTTGCAGTGGAGAATAAGCTGTTCTTACTATGGCAGGTCAGTTTACAGCAAAGGGCCCCTACAACTTACTGAGCTGCAGTAGGTGTACTGTGCCTGGAGTTGGGCTTTAAAGCTGCCATGAGCGATATACAAGGGATGTCTTTGCTGATCTTCTCCGCTGGCTGTTATGCTAACACACTGGATCCTGTACTTTCCGAGTCACTGAACTGGAACTAACATATGCAGATCAGGAATGTCTGGGAAAAGTCAGAAGGTGTTATCTGCATATTTGTGGCAGGTCACTGATCCAATGTACTAAAGGAAGTGGACCAGACTGGCTGGAGGAGAGAAATGACATGCTTCATGTATTTTTTATGACAGCCCTGAATATTTTGTCATCTTTTTCTGCCAAATGACTGAAGGACACCTATGTGGTAGGTGAGCAGGGAAGGAAGGTATATTTGCATAGAAAGCATCTCATCGGGTATAAAGTAAGTGACGTGTCCCTGGGATCACAAGAAGCATTCAAGAGACATCTTTACCTGAATCTCTGAGCAAAGTTTTTCACAAGGTGTGCTATCCTTCCATCCGTTATTAGGTCAAAGGGGGACTTTCCTCTGTGGTTGGCGTAGTTAATGTCTGCCCCCGACAAAGCCAGGAAACAAGCGATTGTTGTTCCCACATTCAATTCTGTGCTTCCAAGCAACCCAGTAGCCTGCAGCTGGAAAAGATAATACATAAAAGTGTAAAAAAAAAAATACACATTCTAGGCTCTGATCCTCCACAGGATGATAATAAAAGCTAAGCTCATCCTTACCAAGGATTCAACCCTAAAGAAATGATGCGAGTCAGACAGGCAGCCAGGAGCAAGAGCAGCCAGGGGCCACTGGCCATCCCAGGAAATAGGATACAAATGTATATATGATTCTGCGGGATATGGAACATAGTCACCTGACCTTGCCTAGTGTACTGTTGCATATCCTGCAGAATCATATCTACATTTGTAACCTCATTCATTGCATTGATTCTAGCTATTAAAGGGGTTAGGACCAGTGACATGTTTACTTTAAAGGGGTCCCCAGTGTTTGCCCCTGTGTACAATGTCTGGCTCGCTGAATGGGAAAAGCCTTCCCATTTTCTATACCTGATACATTTTATTGGAGCCGACGGCAGGATCTGAGCCTTGTGCAGCTCATTTGTCCTCAATCCACTGGGCCAAATCTGTTCTTTTTTATTGTACTCAGTCATATGGAGGAAAGACCTTGTTTCATTGGTTTTACACTGTAGCCTTAGAGATACCTGCAATTGTTCTAAAATGTCATGGAAATGTCAATTCTATATCTTGTAAACAAATTGCAGCGTTTAGTCTCATACCCCGGCCATCACACATGCTGCTTTCATCAGTAACACCACCCACAGGCCGCCCCACAAAAGCTGCAGAATAATCTGGCATTACCTTGCTGAGCATAGCTGAGCCAGCGCCTTCAGGCTCCAGAGGGGTGAGGTGCTGCTGTACCAGCACTATGTGCATAGGAGTATCCCCATCTTCGTCTTCTGCATTTACATCGCCTCCCTCCGTCACCAGGAGCTGCACAAGGTTGATGTGCCCATGGGTCACTGCCAGGTGTACAGGGGTTTGGTTTCTGTTGTTCCTGAGATTGACATCACACCGCCCCTGCACAGTGGCATGAATGGAAAACATGTAAGTTGGGTTCAGGGTCAAGGGGTAGCTGTTAAAGTTGGCATAAGTAGAGAAAAAGAAAAGTTTGACTGGTGTAGGAACATATACAAAGGTCACAATGTCAACACAGTCCATGCTGGAGGGGAATCTGGAGGGAATACTGGTCATCTCTGCCAGCGTGCACCTTCCATTTATTAATTAACCATTGAGTGCACAGACCAGCGTGAAGAATAGCACATAACCTGAATTCCAACCCACTCACACCTTTGTGGTCTTTTTACTATAAACTCCACAACAAAGACTAGAGGCCAGCACCTAAAATTGGTGGAGAAAAGATTTAAGCACAAGGGGCGTAGGGGCTTCTTCTCAGTTAGAGCGGTTAGGGTCTGGAACTCGCTGCCGCAAGCAGTGGTATCAGCTGAGAGTGTGGAATCATTCACAAAGCATTTGGACAATTTCCTCAGAGACCGTAACATACAGGGGTACAGGTACACTAAAGAACAAGATCACACAGGGGCTCATACACATGCAGAATCACATGCATACACGCAATAGGTTGAACTTGATGGACCTGTGTCTTTATTTAACCTCAGATACTATGTAACTATGCGATACTTTAACGTTGAGCGTTAACTCAGCCAATTAATGATGGACGGGCTGAGTAAACCAAAAAACGCACATTACCCTTTTTTGAACTAACACTACAACACAGTTTTCATGGTGAATTACCCTCTATATTACAGCCGTTCACAGCGAATGACACCATACATAGCAGGTGGATTGCAGGCATGTGTGCATTACTGCAACGCACAAGTATGAATGGGCCCAAGGCTGTTGCACTGCAGCAATGTGTGCATTACCCTAATGCATGAAAACACGCATTATGCATATTGATGTGCCGCAGTGCCTTATCTTAATGGCCTTCAAAGCATGTGCATTGTAGCATTACAAAAAAATCCTATGCACATAAATGGCCTCTGCCATCACACAATGCATGTCAAGGCAACAGTGTATTTTACCCTCTAGGACATGGTTCATGCACTGACTGCTATTAGTGGTGAACAAGCTTATTGTGCTTGCTAGCCCCCCTATTGTCTGAACTAGAGGAGGTCAGGTTCTGAGAAGCACCCTCTAAATTCTTAGATTTGAAGCACAGAATCATGTGAGGAGAGGCTGCTGGCAAACCCAGAACCACCATGAAAGCTTGTTAAATGTGCCTGCAATTATAAAAGCCAAGCAGGGATCATTCAGAATGTACCTGTGAAGGTTCTCATTTATCTCCGGTCACGGTACGTCTAGCAGCAGTCCCATTCAACTGGACTTGTTCTGTAATAGTGAAAAGGTTTCACTGCTTGTCCAAGCAGCTTCCTGTGTTCAAAGTGTCATTAGAACGGAGGAAGCGGATTGGATAAGCTGTGAAATGTCTTCAACATTACAGAACAAGTCCAGTTGAACGGGAGTAACTTCTACTAAATATTCTGAGATTTGCTATGTTTACTAAACAGTATTTTAGTGCCTGGAGTCCTCCCAGAAGTCATTAGGCTGTAGAAAGCTCCGGGCTTGTTAGTTAGGTGTGTGCTGGATGACACGGATCACACCATTCCATGGACACATTCATAGCTCCCAGCTCCTCTCCCTAGCCCCCAGTACACGTCACTGAGACACAACTCCCAATGTTCCCCCCCCAGCAGGTCCCTACTTACCTCCCCTAAACGCTGTCTCACACTATCTGCAGCCCGGCTGTACATATCTAGTGCCAGGTTGTCTGCACATTAAGGTCCCACCGACATAAATAGGACATTGCTCTTGTAGTACAGGGAAACAGGGAGGTCCACTGTCACTTGAACCATACAACTTACATGTATAGGAATACAGAGCCCTGTGATACAGTATCCCTGCTGATCCCCGACTCTCGAGCTGCAGAGTCACCTCAGAAGTAAATCTAATACAAGGACAATCGTACACTAAGTCTGCACAGTTCTAATGATTTAAAGAAAACCTGTACTGAGAGAAGTATGGGGGCTGCCATTGCTGACCTCCTTAGGAAAATTCTAATTGCTTGGCTATCCCTGGCCTCAGTACTTTGAGAGATTGAACTGCAACAAGCATGCGGATCAGGAAAATCAGAGTGATCCGCACACTTGTTCCGAGTCAGTGATTTAGAAAGTACTGATACTGTTGGATTTGAGTGACAACCAGGGAACCATTGTTTTCCGGAGAGGTCAGCAGTGGCAGCCTTCATACTTCCATATTACAGGCTTGCATAGGCCTTTCTATGACTGGGTTCCGTGCTAGTCCCCCTTATGGTACAAGCCGTTGTCAGGACCGTCTATCACGCGGTGCGTACCTCTTTGACTAAGATCTCCACCACCTCCTGATGGTTGTTCAGTGTAGCCAGGTGCAGAGCAGTGAAGCCGTCTTCCTTCTTGGAGTCTACCAACTGCCGCGCTCTTTCCAGGATCCTCCCGACAGCTCTAAGGACAAGAACAACATCAAATGACCATCCTCTGCTTCATAAAGTATAAAGATGTGATGAGCTACTACCCTAAAGTCATATTTTAGGTATAGGAGTCTTATTTAAAAGTTCGAAGAGTTTTACCCCATGTGTGGCGCTCGTCAGAGGCGGGGCGAGTTGCGGTACTTGGTGGGTACCCCGTATGTGACTAGAATTTGGGGAGATTTTCTGTGTGGAAAGTTTAAAGGGGGAGGGGGGGGGTTTGGGAGAGGGGGTTTTTTTGTATACCCCCTTGTAGACCAATAGAAGCGTCTTATATTGCTCTGTGGGTGTGCAGCTCCATGGTGTTCGGACCGTGGTGTCCAACAGCTGTGCTAATGGGAAACAAAAATTGGAGAACGGAAGCGCCACTACCTGGCACAATAAATGTGGCGAGGTTGGATGAGAGGGGTAGGTGATGTACTCACCTATGGTAGGTCGATAATTCTCTTCTCTGGCTTCTCTTGTCTCACACTTTTATCAGTAGTGTCCCCAGCTGTACCAGCTCCTCCTGTCATACTCTTCATAGTATTACATACATTGAAAGTACAACAGAGGAAACCTCCTCTAAACTGCTGCAGGACATGTACACACCTGGCAATTTGGGGGGCTGCTATGGCTGAACCCTTTAATGTTTTACTCACAGGCTTTATTAATTCGGTGCCACCAACTCAGAACTATTGTGCAGATCAGAGAGTTCCGAGGAAAGTCACAAATCTGTTGCCTCCATAGTTGTTCCAGGTCCATGACTAAAGGTACTGAATGAAGGCCCATGGTACACATACTTTCCTGTCGCTGGTGACAACTTGGTAAAAAATGCAGAGAAGACACTTGAGTCCTTCAATGGTGTCACTCTCACGCTGGTTGAACGAATAAAGTGTTACTCCCTTTCTAATAGAAAAACTGTAGAATGTCACTTGCCAACATCTGACCAGTGACAGCCAACAAGGTGCGAGCATTTCTCTGCCCTGCAAGCCATCTTTTCACTAGAGAGTTTTGCATGTAAACTAGGACATGGCCCTTAGAGAGTCAGCATGAGAGCGAGGCACTAGAAGGAGGTCAGAAACAACAGACTCCATGTTTATTTCCTAAAAGGCTCCACTTTACACCCCTGGACTCTATTACATTGTGCTTAGCATCGCTCACCTCCTTCTGAAAATGCTAGCTGCCTGGTATTCTCTGGCTTTAATACCCAGAACAAGCATGCAGCCTGTGAAGTCAGTACTACTCATCTGCATGCATGGTCCGCAGCAGTGATTCAAAGCAATAAACGCCAATTGTATGCCAAAACCCCTAAGCATTTGGTCACATGATCTACATTATATTGAAGGAAAGGATTCGAGTTCTGATCCTCTACATTTCACCAAATGTCTCAGCTTTTGCTGATGCTAGAAGCACTACAGGGAGCCAGGAGCTGTATTTCTCCAAACAGGTTCATTTCAGCTCTTCTAATACTCTTTCTGTCATTATCTTACTAAGACGGTCCATAACGCTTCAATTTCACATTCTGATACAGGTTCTCTTTAGCAATCTTTCCAACAATAGGAAAGAAGTCTGAATTCCGGCTCTTCACTTGTGATTACGGACAGCTGCTGCTGTTCTAGATTCCCAAATATGTGCTGGAAATCTTGATGACATAAAACGAGATTTCACAACGCAGAAGACGTCAGGTCAGTGGTCCATCTGATGTCACCTTGCCCTATGGGGAAACACTTGTGAGTCAGCGGAAGAGAGCTGCATGATGTCTGGATGATGTCCTAATGGCTCAAAGACTGACCAGACAAGTATGGCTCACAGGCGTTCCTCCAACTCATTGTAGCCTGCTATGGAAACCTACAGCGCTGTGCACATTGCAAGCCGGTCAGGAAACTACGGCAGTGTTCTCCCTCCCTCTCCCAGTCTGTCTCTGCTGTGCAGGGGGTTACAGGGAGCGGGTACAAGAACTTAGAGTATACGGTCTTATTATACTCATTTTAACTATACCTTGCACTGAGTTTTGACCCAGAAGGTGCTTTTATTGGGAATTTTCCAGTGTTAGAAGTTGGGTGCGCTTTAAGGTTTAGTCACCAAAACTAGAAACATTTCAGTAGTTGTTTTTCCTTCAATCTGTTTTAAGTTTTACAATGGAGAGACAGAACACGGCTTCTGCTGTGAGTGCAAAAACCTAAAAATATATTTCCATTCCACTTTCGGTAAACACTGTGCTTGGTTTACTCTTGTAATACTCTGACATCAGTCCCAACAATTCAACTTTACACAGAGATTAACGCAGGATCTTCTTATTTGGATGAGGATTAAAAAGTCAAAAGCATGAGTTAGTTCTAACCGCAAGGGAATTCCAGTCTGTGTATCACAGAAATGGCTGGAGGGAGTGAGGCCAAAAAGATTTGGGTCATCAGAGTCTCCAGACATGGAAATAATGGCACTGTATGACCATGCATGACCATGTATCAACATGTATGACCATGCATGAAAATTTATGACAATGTATGACCATGTATTTTTGTGATCTAGGTAGGAAGGGGAATATTTTCACTAGTCCACCAACAATGATATTGTATGAAATCTCAGTTTGAAGGGAGTGTATACACAGCGGCCACTTCATAAGGTACATGTAAATAGTGAATAATGGCAAGCATTATTCATTCATAAGCATCTCTCCAAAAGTAAAGATGGACTGATGCTTCATCTCTATAACTGAGGTTGCTATGGATGATCTGTGCACAGAGGAGGTTCAATGCATGCAATATTATGAAAGTATAAGAAATGCTGGAAGTTAAGAACTTCTCTAAATAATCCACATTAGCACATGCGATGCAAGAAGAACCAGCACCTTAAAGTATCTCTATTGTGCTCAGTTGCTTTGGCAGAGTCAACAGAGCAGGACTGATTATATTTTTAGGGTTCACCTGAATCCTTAAAAGAGGGCCAATTGCTTTTAGCAGGAACGTACACTGACAGCTAAAGAGGGCTCTATTCAGACTTGTTTGTGGATCCAGCTAGGACTGTCCTTACAAACACATACATGTCAGAGTCCCGGAACTGCAGCAGCTCATCCATGACATTTAAAATGTTGCAGCAACACCTCATTTAAAGGGACACTGTCACCTTACCCATGCAGGACCCGACCCCTATATACCTACATCACCTGCACTCCCTTGCAGCCCCTTTCTCCTCTGCAGCCGGCATTTAGATCGGCTGTGTTGGTGACCTGGTGGAGCGGTAGTGTCCCTCTCCCTGTCACTAGCAGTGCCCAGGAGGTCAAAGGAGAGCAAGATGCATACTTCTCAATTCCTGTACATGCCAGGGAGTGTTGCACGGCACTGAAACCTGATTTTTCCATTATGGGCTGAGCGGGACATTGCTGATCTCCAAATGGTTATTCCTTAGAGCCCACAGAGGAGATCTATCCCAACCCTGGATTCAAAAGACACGCTGGTGCTATGACCAGACTAATATTTGTTAGCCCGATCCGATGGAACATACGCCACAGGGTATTTGTATGCAGTGTGGGTATAGTCTGCCAGAGCAGAGGCTGACTGATGAGAACCAGAAGTATACACTTACAAGACATTCCCTTTCAGAGCTGAGTGATGGAGCAGGTTGAAGCCTTGCTGATTCTGCACAGTGAAATCAATATTTGGTACTTCAGTCAGGATCTCTATGATACTTCTGTAGTCTGCTGTGATGGCGTAATGCAACGGTGTGTCTCCATGTAAGTCCTAAGAGGAGATATACAAAGGTACGTGTCATTTCCTGCCTGGTTCATTCTCAGCAAAGTTTCTGCCTTTAAGAAACCTGATATTAGAAGTCCCTCTACTATATATAAATAGTCAAATACTATTATAATAATTACATCTGATTTGTTGGTGTGATACAAAAAACATGTTCAATACTATCACTACTCTTTTGGGGCATATTTTTTAAGGAAGTGAATGTGACTTTCACCAAACATTCACTGGTGGTGAGAATAAATCACTGTTATTTCAAACAAATGCAACCTGAAGATTCACCTGCAGTGAATGTTTGCTGAATACCAAATGAATTGCTTTATAAAGATGTCCCTCGATGTGCTTGTTGTCATGAACCCGTGTTATTATTTTTACCAAATAAAATACAAAGTGAGTAACACAGAATATTCTCAGAGAAGAAAAGAACGGAAGGCATTTGTAATTCCAGCACAGCTCACCTGGACATTGATGGCACAGTTGGGAATACAGAGTACTTGCACCACCTCCATGAATCCTTTATTGACAGCAATGTACAGAGCAGTGCACTTGGCATTATTGAGTAACTCGGCATTGGCTCCTTTTGCCAGCAACAGTCGGATGATAGCAGCCTGGTTACTGAGAAAAAGACAGTCATGTGTTAGAGGGAAGTTCTGAGAAAGCCGGAGGAGTAAAAGCTCTGACACAGAATCTCAACGAAGCCCAATACAAGAGGGTCCATTTTAGGAATGCACCAATGCCGTTTTTTTCGGTATCGAGTAGGAGTACCAATATTTTGTTTTCGGCACTCGCCAATACTGAGTACTGTGTACCCAGATTATCAGTAAGTCGGGCAGCGGATCACGACCTGTCACCCGGTTTCTAGCGAAAGAACACCGGCTTCACTTGCCGAGGCTGTCTGGCTTCCTGATCAGGAAGCCGGGATGTGAGTCATGATGTGCCGACTGGCTTCCTGATTGGTTAGGAAGCCAGGCTGCTTACCAATAAGTGAAGCTGACTTACTAGCCATTTAGGAAGCCGAGCAGCACTTCATGACCTTCCTCCCGGCTTCCTGATTGGTCAGAAAGCCAGGCTGTCTAAGAACAAGAGAAGCCGGCTTCCTAGCCAATCAGGAAGCCGGGAGGCGGGTTATGAACTGCTGCCCTGCTTCCTGATTGGCTAGGAAGCTGGCTTCACTTGTTGCTAGGCAGCCTGGCTTTCTAACCAATCAAGAAGCAGGGCGGCAGATAATAACCCACCGCCCAGCTTCCTGATTGGAAAGGAAGCCAGCTCCATGCTCCCTCGGCACTTGCAGTCAGAGGGAGATCTCCCTGTGACCAGAGGTTCCGGTATCGGAGGTATCAGAGCATTTGGGCCCAAATACTTGGTATCGGTGCATCCCTAGTTCATTATTTTTTCTTAGATCAAACTGGGGCTAAAGAAATATCGTCTACATATAAGAATCATATGTATTCTTGTTTAGTAATCCAGCATGAAACAACCCTTGCAATTTATGCAGGAGCTTCCTGTAATAGAGACCAGTCACTGCAGCTCCCTCCCCTTGTGCAGGGTGACTGGTCTTGTCTCCGCCCCCTCATGTCGTTTTCTGCAGGCAGCCTGCAGTGGGAGCATCTGCTGCTCAGGCTATGTGCAGCCCAATGGTTATGTCAACGCTACTTTTATAAAGTAATATAAAGGTTTGCGAAAGCATTTGGGGCACACAACGTTGATTGGTATCCTTTGTGGCCATTGATGAATGTATTTCAATACATGTTTGTGTGTCAGGAGTTCAGCTTTTATTTGCAATAACCTATAGATAGCAATCGGAAATAATTTTTATCTAACTGACCTAAACTAATGAATGCGATCTAATCCCAACAGTCTCATTCCTCCACATAGTTCTGTGTAGATGGAGAAATCTGATTTTATTTTTCGTTCAGCCCATCAGGTTGAATTAAAAAAAATATAACGGTTTATTGGCAGCTTAACGGAGTACCACCTGGGGCCCAGAAACTTCGGAAGATCTATTATCAAGATCTCAACCAGCTTCTAAGCTCGAGCGTTCAATCCTGCCCTTTGCTATACATCTCCTCAATACTGGTCACTGAGCTTCTCATCATAGTTATAGGCCAAGCACGGGGTTGTTTGTGGGGAGCTGGTCACTATGTACATAAAAAGCACCTGTGGTTTAAGGTCTTCTGGGTCTCTGTAATGTGTGCAGCCTAAAACTATTAGCTCACGTGACCTATTCTTTATTTCCATAGCCTGTAAAACTCTTACCCATAAGCAGCATAATGTAATGCAGAATCCCCTTCATCATCCTTAAGGTCAATGTTTGCATTGGCTTGAATTAAGACCTTCACCACCTCTATGTGTCCCAAGTGGGAAGCCACCTGTAGGGCCGTCCTGCCCTGGTTCCTTATATCTACCTACAATGGAAAAAACAGCAGCAAAACGTCAGACACACAAGCAGAGGCCTTGTACTCCAAGCCAAGAACGGAGCCTTTGAGCATGACACCTGGCCTCGATTAACTCTTGCTGGGCCGCTTCTGTGGCTGTTAATCACCGGCCGGCTCCTGCAGCTGGTGGGAACACCTGCAGTGGTGATGCAGTCATTTATTCTAGAATACGGGTCAAGGCGTTAGACACTGGAGGGTTACATGGTTTTTAATTAGACAGACTGGATGGTGATGCAAAGCAGCCCTGGTTCTGGTTTGCCTCATCTCAAAAAGGGAGGAATCCTGCTTGGATGGCAGCCAAGTTCCACTAAGTTAACTTTGGATAATCAAGCAGAAGGAACAGACTAGGAATCTGCTCAGTGCGCACTATTATGTGCCATTGCATTTAAAGGGCCAGACCATTCACAGCTGACATTTCAATAATTGGTTGACATTGATGAAGTGACCATTCTCTTCTGTCTAATATGCAGTATATCAGAGACATCAGTGAGGATTCTAACCCCTCGGAACGCCATGAAATCCCAAACCTCCCGTGTCAGAAGTCTGTGTTTTCTTTTTGTGCGGGCAAGATCCTCCTCACCACCCCCTCTTCTGTATTCATAGGCTCATGTTAAAATGAGATATTCCTAAATTTCCTGATTATTTGCCAATATGGTATATAGACTTTGGGCATACGCTAACAGACGGACAAGTAAGGAAAATATTAAAGCTATGTCATATCTCTTCTATTAGCTCGATTGTTAAAAAGATGAATTTTCCACGAGTCACGTGTTTGTATTTATCACCATTGCATTTGGCAGCTATTTCAAGGGATTATTAATTAAATTGCTGGATGTGGGGTGGCTTGGAGGGTTCTAGCGCACATATGTGGTGGCCATGTTCAATCAACTAGTCATTTTGGTTCTCAGTCGTGTCTTGGATAGCACAACTTTTGGGACATGCTTTGCTGCTAGAACAAATGAAGAGTTGCCTTGTCGCACTCCTTACCGGAGATCCACAATCACAGGGGGGGCGCTTGATAGATGTCACCAGGGGTGTGGCGCTAGATAGATGTCAGCAGAAAGATTTGAAATCCAAAGAGTTTGTTTATTGACACATCATGTCATCAGGCTGTGCCTCTCTCATTGTTCTTCTTCTCCATATAAGAATTGTTTGTACAGCTTCCTCACTTAAATATGACGATGCATAATATAGCTTTACATTGCAAATCATCTAGGGCACCATTGATTTCTTTTTGGTTTAGGATGGTCTCTCTCAATGTTCAGACTTTGGTCGATCAGACTATGCCAATGGGTGAATTGGGGAAGTGTGGTAGGCAAAACATATTTAGGAACAAAAAAAATATGTTCTACTCTTGATACATTTTCCATAATATAAAGTAAATGAAAAGACCAACAAGGGAGAAGTCCTTGAAATGGCTGAGGCTGGAAAATGGGGGGAGACATCTCAGTGTTGGTATGACCACAATAGTGTGCCATTAACATCCGTACCGAAAACTGATATTTCATGAGAGTTGTTATCATTGAATGACATTCCCGTGAATAACGGAGGAATGTGATTTCGGAAGCCACAGGCGCTATTTCAGACATACCTTGTCTGGGTGCTTCTGGAGCATCTCCCTCACTTTGCCAATGTTTCCCTGGGCCGCTTCTATCACCAAGGAACTGGGACTTTCACAATCTGTCTTCTGAGCCAGAATCTTCTCTAGAATGGAGACCAGTGTACCTGCCGATGGAAATGAGGCCTTTACTACATGAAATGCATTTTTAAAGAAAAACAAATATTTACAAAATGATTTCACAATTTTGCTGGCTCAACCCAGGATGCTGGATGCTCGGGGTAAGTAATAGATTTACAGAAACACAGCACAGTAGTGGCTGCGGGGTTCTTCTTTAACCATAACTGTGCTATTGGCTTACTTTTGGACTCCTTGGCATTTTCTGTTGTCATGAGATTGGCATCATTGTCTCTCTGATAAGAGGTGAGGCATGCAGGGTTAAATGTCCAGGACTGGCCACCAACAGACACTCTCATGTCTCCATCACCAAACACTTTGATGACCTTGCCGATCTGTCCCAGAGCCTAACAGGACAAAGTGGAGAGACGTAAAATAAAGATTAAAGTGATAATAAAGTCAAAAGGTTTCAAATGCTGATTAAATCACTTACAATGGAGGCTGCTTCTACATTTTTAAAAGTTTTAGCTTCTTTCAGAATAATTTGGTCCCCTGAGTCCTGGCCCTGATATCCTGTTTTAGAGTAGCTCCTTTCCCATGCCTATGGAGCCACCCTTGTGTGTGCTAGTAAGCTGTGTGTGTCTCCACAAACACAGCAAGGCAAGCCTGTTTCCTGATCCCTACTTCCTGCTCCTCCCTACCAGTTCTAACTCCTACCAAGTACTCTGCAAAGTGTAAAATTGACCTCAGCTGGGGGGGTGGTCTAGTCGGAACTCTATGTGCAGGGTTTGGACCATGACTACTTATTTGGATTCTCCTGACAGTGCCCACATGACGAAGGGAAGTCCAGCCAAAAGTCTGCTGATTAAAAAAACCTGCACCGAATGCTCTCCTAACTTTTAGGCCTCCTTCACACAGCTAAGAATCGGCCCGTATAGGTCCATGCTGCGTGCACGGCCACATCGGGCGGTTCCTGGGTAGGACAGGTGCTGGGTGTGATTGTACGCAGCAGCCTGTTCATCCCTATGGGAGAACGTGGCCGTGCGATCACCCGAGCTGCACATCGGTGCGGGTGTCTGTGCTCGGACGCAGACAGGATCCAACATCTGACTCCTGGCGCTCAAGTTATAGCGAAAGGATACCTCCATCCGATGGCCATGGCCTCCGGTGTTTGTTTACATCCTGGCCACAATTAAGAAATATGGAGCAGCTCTACCCACTTGTCTCCAATCCCGCTGCTTGAACCTCTGTGCCTGGTAAAGCTTCCGCCGAAGCGTTCACTGAGCACTAGGTACAAAACTGGCACTAAGAGCAGCAAACAAATAAATGCTTACATTTTTCAGCCCCCAAAACTGGGCCTTAGTCTCGTAGCCTTACAGCCCTATAGACTTCAATGGGACCACCTCCCTTTGTCTCTAGCCTCTGGACACAGGACCATAGAAGTCTATTGGGCTGTGTGGCCACAACAGTGAAATCTGCGATCACTGGATGTAAATACTCATCGGAGGCCGTGGGCGCCAGACAGCTGAAAGAATGTATCTGTCAAGGAGGAGGGTGGGTTAGGTCAGAACAAAGGGGGGAAAAAAGTAAGTGCACTTTGTCTCAAACTGTACCTATCCTGTAAACAACAGAAGAGGACAGATATAAATCTTTCACAAGTAAGCCTGCAGATGTATAATGAGAGATGTATGACCATTTCTTGTTGGCGCTCCATGCTGGTTATAGTGACATGTAGTGTAGACTAGAACAAGATGACTGGTATATGTGTGGAGATGGAAAATGAGCTATTAAGGGGGAGAACATCTTGGAGATTTGGACAACTCCAAGGATAACAGGAAGTCTAGAAAAACAGTTAAACCTTTTGTCAAAAACACTGACATTAGAAAACTCTTGTGTAAAGTACAGAATGTTTGGTCAAGTGGGACCAGAGACTCAACAAAGACTGAAGGGGAATCACACACAAAAGTTAGTGGGTGTGGACTAAAGAGTTCATGGCCATTGCAGGCAGTAAAAAGCATGAAGACATTACAGAGAACGAGAGGAAGAGTTATTACATCAAGACTCCAAGCATTTTGAACAAATTTGGACTTTGTGGTTATTTTCATAATACCGACTATCATATATAGCATTTGTCACATGGTCTCTAAAGACTGGGGTACCCTGATACACTTCCTGTGTAGGGCACCCCATGGAAGTTCATTTCTGTCTGCTCTGTGCTGGATGGACTTACAAGTTGAAGAACGTGTCCTTCAACTGTGAAAACAAAGGATACATGTATGCTGTGTGATAAAATGCAGAGAGAGGTCTCTGACACTTTCAGAAAGCATCAACCTAGAGTAGAGACTTCGTAAAACATACTGGAGGGAATTTATCATAGCAATTGTGACTGTTTGAACTTGCACGGAATATATTTGCACCAGATTTATGATGCTAGTGTAATGTTGTTCATAAATGAGGTTTAACAGACTCCAGGAAAGAAGACTTGTAACTCCCGGCGCTTCTTGAAGAAGTGGTCATGGGGACTTCTTAAGTTGTGATTGTTTTGCTAGATGATGCTCCAGTTTCAGACAGCCACTGGACAAAAGCCAATGAAAACAGATTCAAAAAACATGCCATTGAAAAAGTAGTGCAAGCTCAGGTCAAAACAGGGGCACATGTTAAAAGAAATAAACATTTTATCTAAGAGGCTAAAACTGTCGCAATTGCTTTGATAAATTCCCCCCAATGTATTTGCTTGTTTCACTCCAGTCACAAATACAAGGAATGAGGGGTTTAAACCTAATTTTAGGATAGAGGGCAGAGTCATACGAATCAATCCTTAGACTCTGCCTGCTATTAAAAAGCTGTTTATTCCAAACAGCATAAAACAGTTTTAGGCTAGTTGGCCATCATCAGTGCGGTGTATGTAAGCTAAGGCTTCTATGGAGTAGGGCTTATGGACCAACACAATGGAAGAAGCAGCCATGTTATGGTGAGGTGGGCTAATGGGAACCAAAAAGAGATCAAACAAATATTACAACTCTGTTAGGACAGGAAGTAATACGAAAGCTCCATTGATTTGTAGTCATCTTGTCACTGTATGCGCACTGTAGCCAAAGATGGAGCCTAAAATGAATCTGCGGCCAGGCTATGGACATTAAGCTATATACATATATTCTTAACAAGCAGTAAAGCTTGCCATATGCTCTTCTATTTTTTGGGCTAAACAAAAATAGAGCAGATGCCTCCATCAATGCTACAAGCGCATTGATCGAGGAATCCCCGCTGTTTCCTTTTTATTTTGACAGTGGAGCTGGACGCTGTCAGAATACCCAAACAGAGCTGGGAGCTCATTGGCTGCCCGCTCCATATGTTCAAAGATTTTCAAACCAGGTCCTTCGATCAGCTGATCGAGGGATACCGGCCGAAAGGGGGCCGACAGCAGCACCCACTCTACGAATTTCCTGAACCGTCTGAAATTTGCATAATGTATAGCCAGCTTTAATAGGCTTATAAACAAGTCCTCACTGACCTCTGCAGCTGCAGGCTCTCTGGAGCAATTCACGCTCAAATTTCAAAGCAGAAGTATTGAAATCTTTCAAGTTGTTCTGTGAACAGTCCCCCTGCTCCCCACTCCCAGAAGTGATTCAACAGCCCAACTTGTCCTGCTCCCCCCCTCCTAGCAAAGACTTATTAGCTCATGTCCCCCTGCTCTGTCCTCCCAGCAATGACTAAGCAGCTCTGCTTCCCTTTCTTAGTAGCGATTCAGCAGATCAGCTCACCCTAGATCACTACTGCGCAGCAATTTAGCAGTTCAACTCACCCTACTCCCTCTTACAAACATGTGGAATATAAATATAGAAGAAGTCTCTATGGTGGGATCTTTGGGATATTCCGTTACCGTACAGCCTGGTTATTTGTTCAAAATGGGAGTAAACAAACAAATGAGCAGACAGATGAAGAATTGGAAAAGTTCCAGAAGGAGAAAGTTTTCCAGTGCTAACAAGCGGCACTCGAGATTTCAGGCACTCACAGGGGCCATATCATCTGTCCACTCCCCGTGGCCAACTTGTAGCTTCTTGACTGTATCCACATCATCCATCACACGCACAACATCACCAACCCAAATGTTGTTTTGCTAAAAAAGGAAAGAAACAAAATAAAAAGAAAAAAAAAAGCTTTTTCCAACGTAAGCAAAAGGGGAAAAAAAGGAGCAACTAATAAAAAACACATACTGCAATCAGGATACTGTAAAGCGCAACTCCACAATCTGACACCGAGTGGCAGCACTAGGCAAATAAATACGCACCATATCACAATGCTAAACGGATGCAGCAGCATTGAAGTGATCCATGTGACACTCATTCTTTCCAACCAACAGGTACACCAATGGATAAGTCAAGGAGTCACCAGCAAATTAAACTGATGTTTAGTTGCTTTTAGTGAGGGATACATTTTTGGACTTGAACTACTTTCTTCTGAGGTACAATTTCAAAATTTACACTGACTGGCTCTGTGAATATGGCCTGGTAACAAGAACCCCAGTAAGAGTCATTTCAATATATGGCTATGGAGCAAGTTCCCTATCCATCAAGTGATCCAATTCCCTCCTTACTCAGCACCTCTCTGCTAAACTGCAAGTGGCAGACTAGATTGTGTCTGAAATAGACATGAGGCATCAAATCCGTCTTCCAGCACATGTGACAGGTGAGAGCCACGGGATGATGAGACATGGATGACAATCTTTTGGAGTTCAGGAGTGCCAGCATTTTTGACCGTTGACCCTTTTTGTCAATCACAAAATGAGTAGCAAACCATCGTGGCCATATTTGTGTTTTGGGAGTCCATATTAGAGTGCATATAGTGGAAGTGTATATCTGAGGTAGCTGCTGTATGTAAAATGTGGTAGCTCTTCCTGCTGCTCTTCAACTATCAAACACAGTGAAGTTCCCTGCTGCTCTTCATCTATTGTTTATGGTGGGCTTCCCTGCCACTCTCTAACTATCAAAGTGGCCCACTACTCTTCAACAACTGAATATGGCAAAGTTCTCTGCTACTCTTCAACCATCGTATATGGCTGAGCTCAAAATTTCCACTCGCCTGCTCGCATTTTGCTGGAAATTCAGCTGGTGTATTAGGGCTTTCACTCTCTGTCTCATGCTGATGCTGCCCCGCTGACAGACACGCCCACACCAATGCTGGACTCACTGAGTTTGCTTTGCTAGCAGACACGCCCACACCAGTGATGGAAGCGCCCAGTCCGTGTGTGCTTTGGATATCCCAGTGGAGCCACAAACTAACAGGTCAGATGCCGGGGATGATGAGAAGCACTGAGCAGGGGGAGGGAGACAGGCTGCTGTGTGTATATCTCAAACTAAAGCTTAAATGCAAGTGCTGCTCTTCCAGGGACCTGAGAGATAAGAAAAACAGAAAAGTCCAATCATCAACAAAAATGTAAATATAAGAAAAACTGGGATCACAGCAAACAGAATTTGATAAATATGATATTTCCTGCACAAAAGTACAATGTTCCATGGAGATATAACTAATAGTGTTAAACCCACTGTGTCCAACCCCCCAAGTCAATATGCTATATGGAGAGAATATATATTGCTTAGTAAAAGAAAAAGTCAGAGGTTTCCACTACTCCTTCACAGCTGCTGACAAGTTATATCTTCACAGAACATTGTGCTTTTGTGGAGGAAATATCATATTTATTACATTTTGCATTTGATGTTATCACAGTTTTTTTCTTATTTGCACATTATTGTTGGTGATTGGATTTACAGATTTATGTTTAGTAGTGTAGCATGGCACTTATATTTAGGTTTTGGTTTGAGATAACACAAGGTGTAGTGCACACATTAAATAAACACACAGTTAAATAATAGTATTAATCAATATTAATTAAGTAAATAATAATTACATAACTAATATTAATATTTAATAATTAATGACATAGTAAAATGAATGCGTTGCAGGGTCCTGAGTCTATTGCATTGGATGGCCCTGAGTGTATTCCGTGGCATAGTTCAGAGTCTATCGTGTTGGAGGGTTCTGATTCTTTTTGCTACTTATTTTCCTTTATGTTTACATTGCGTTATGTTAATATTGTTAAAGTTGTTATTGTTAATATTTATTTTTGTAACTTTATTTCTGAATGAAATATTTAACAGTGTAATTTCAGAGATAATTTAAGAGGGTGTGGTTAGGGGCGGGGTTAAGGCCAGGGCAGGGGTTAGGTGGGGCAACTGGTGGTGAGTAACTCTTAAGGACTGGCTAGTAGTTCAGAACCTGAAATTTTGAGCCCTGGTATATGGTGAGCATTGCCCGTTACTCTTCAACTATCATATATGGTGAGGTTCCCCGCTACTCTTCAACCATCGTATATGGTGAGGTTCCCCGTTACTCTTCAACAATTATATATGGCGAGGTTCCCCGCTACGCTTCAACCATCGTATATGGTGAGGTTCCCCGTTACTCTTCAACAATTATATATGGCGAGGTTCCCCGCTACGCTTCAACCATCGTATATGGTGAGGTTCCCCACTACTCTTCAACCATCGTATATGGTGAGGTTCCCCACTACTCTTCAACCATCGTATATGGTGAGGTTCCCCACTACTCTTCAACCATCGTATGGGTTTTCTTATTCTTTCACTTCTACACAGGAACACAAATAGTTTTCCTGAGACCTCTCTGCCAGCCGTGGGGTGCAATACTAACAGATCTCACCAGGGTCATCGCAGTAGAATTGTGGTGTAGCATCTGGTCAGGGCTATACGATTGCGCAATTTCTACAGCAATTACATGTGCATATACAGGGTCACAATGTGACACCAAAGAGCATTTTGTGGCTTTTACTATAAGGAGAAATCAGGCAAGATGGAGCTGGCACAAAATACGATATATTTTTACCATAGCTGCCACACCATTTAGCAGACAATTTTCTCCATTAATAAGACCTACCCTACTTCCCCCTCTTGATACCACACCTTAAAAGGGGACCTATAGTAGAATTAGACATCAATCAATAAACTTCCTCCATCTATTCTATCTCACAAGTCTAGTTTGGCTAAACAGTTTAGTGTTAGGGATGCATCTGGAAGTCCTAGGCAACTTATTACTAAGAAGTGATGGAGGCATGGTCTACTAAATAATCCAGGGGTGTATATTCTCTATGAAGTGGAAAACTCTAGAACAAAATGAGATGAGTAAAGACCTAGTTCCGATAAGAGAGACAAATAAGATGCCTACTCATTCCTTCCCATTCTATTTTATATCTATATATTTTGTGGTGTTGTGTTGCATACATCTTGTAGTACCTTTGTCAGAGCGCCAGGGTGGAAGGTCCAGCGTGTTTCACTGTTGTACTGCACTCTGACATCTCCTCTCTCTGTGATCCTGTGAACTGTTCCGGTTTGACCTATAAACTGCACAGCCAAGACAACTTAAAAAAAATGAATTAAAAAACACAATGACATAAAACAGTTCCAGCAACAAACAATAAAACAAAAGTATTTTAGGTCTCTTGCCCTGGATGGAGTATACAGTCATAAGGTAAGCTCAATTGTAGGGATTATCTTGCTGTAGCCGAGTTGTCCTGACTAGAATCATGCACATAGGTGGTTTAAAAAAAGTCCCACTCAAGCTATATGTTCAGTTGGCTCCTAACCAGGGGAAAATTCTTTTGGGGTTGCCACTGAAAAGAACAAGAGCTGCAGGGTCACCACAGTTAGATCCAATTTTATACAAGGTTACAAACAGAACTGATGGTCACCTTTGACATTATCAATGAAAAAGCATGACAGAAATATTGGCTGAACCATTACAGTGACAATGCAATTACCTCTGCCATTTTTGGGTTCCACCCCCCATGTCCTTCTTGCATTTCCCGCAATATTTCAATATCCAAAAGACACTTCACTTTATCCCCATGCTGGAACGGGTGCCGTTCTGAACTTTCTTTCCTCTGAATCTCTGCTGGTTTTCCTAAAAATGACAAAGGCAAGACATTCATGTTGTGCTGGCCAATGGGCCATTGTGATCCTTTCTTATGCTAATAGCTTAAATTAAGACTTTACACATATTCAAGAATATTAAAAATGCATGGCACCTATCAGATCAGAGAGAAGCTATCCATGCATTTCTTCTTTTCATAAACTATATAAATGTGTCCATAACATCCAGGATCCATAAGGTGTGTGAACTTGTGGTCACTAGATCTAGTCCATCAGAGAATAATGCAGCTGCAACACAAGACTTACAGCGTGCAGCTATGGTCCAGATGCTGAGCTGTTTACCAGACATTACAATGGGGAAGTTGCATGATTTAAGCAGCTTTGACTGTGGATGGTGGTTGTATCTCAGAAACTGCTGACCGCCTGGTATTTTTTATACAATACAGTCTCTACAGCTCACACAGAATGGAATGAAATATTAAAAAGATCCAGTGAGTGGTAGTTGTATGGGCAAAGACACCTTGTTGATGAGAGAGATCAGAGGTGAATAGTCAAACGTGTTCAAGTCTGTGGCAGCTAAAGGCAGCACTCAGTGGCCAGCGATGCCGAGGAAGTGTTCTTATATATAAAGCTTGAACTCAGAGCAGAGCGTGGCTTCCTTCCCAAGGAAAACTGGAGCATGACTGGCAATGCTGAAGATGGAGGATCGGCTGAAGAAGCCACTCTGAATAAGTGAGTGTAGGGAAATGACAGAGTCAATCGTGTTCAGTATTTACTATGTAAGAAAGGAAAAGTTTAGCGCGCAGTAAGAGTAAATAGTAATTCACTCAAGCCAAAAAAAAAAGTTTGGGTTCACTGATACTTTAATAAAGAAAGACTATTATTCAATCATTTGCTGACAGACATAATAAATATAAAAATAGATAAAATGAACGTAATCATGTTATAAAAACGCCAAGTCTTACCAAGCTTGGGTAAGTGATCCTTGTAGTAATGCCCTCCTGGAGAATCTGCAATGCACTTTAGATCTACTTTGCCCTTGTGCCCAACTCTGTAAACATTAGTGGTGCCGTCGCCCCAAGTTACACTTGCCACGCTGCGCCCTGTCTCCACGTCCCATCCGCGGATGTCCACAACCCGCCCGACTTTAGATTCCCCACCTAGGCGACACAGCACGAAAAAAATGTATTACAGTAAAACATTACATTACTGGAGCGCAGCACTGGGAAATACTATAATGGAAACATGGCTGCATCATTGTTCTTCTGTGCTGATATATAACTGGTATATTCAACTCTACATAACTGCAAACAATGGCCTTCATTTAACTCCAGAATATAACTGTTCATAGCGATATGATGCTCTTCTTACTGGAAATAACATTTCACATATAATAAGCAGGACTTCTCAAAACAAGGATTTATGTAGATAAGATGACTAACAATTGATGGGGTCAAGGAGGGTATTTTCTCCCCAGTGTAAAGCTGACCATATACCTATAGATTATCTGCAGATTTTCTATGGTCAGATGGAAAAAGTGCAACAGATTCCTCCATCTATGCTAAACTGAAAGAAATGCATTCCTCTTCTGTTGATGTTGTTTACCTGAGCATATCATTTACAATAAACAAGCGGCTGTGTAGAGTACGAAGTGGTCTTTACACTTACACTTTGGGGTACGTACAGCCAGCTCCCTTGTAGGGGGGGAGAAAAATACAGATGGCAGATTCCTCCATCCACACAGTTTAGCGTAGATGGAGGAATCTGTTCCACGTTTTCCATCTGACCATAGAAAGTCTGCAGATAATCTATAGGTGCAAGGCCAGCTTAAGAATGCACAGGCAACCTTCATATTGGAGTTTCAGGTTTGCCTTGTATCGGATTAATGGAATTAGAGTAGACTGAATGTAATAAGCTTAGCTCTGGCACAATAATAATAATAATAATGAATAATGTGAATGATTTCCGCACCACTCGCTGCAATCAAAGTGCAAGGCTTAACCACACAAATAAGTTGTTTTTTTCAAGCATCAGCCTTTGTTGTGGAATTCAGGCATTTTTCATAAATTTGGAAATCCACGGCCAATCGGTCATTGTTAGTTGAAAAAAGGCCTCCCTACCATCTCCTATGCCATAGTGGAAATACAACAAAGCTGGAATAAAAAAAAAAAAAAGGCCCCAAACAAATGAAACATGATCGTTCAGACCATGAAAGCTGAAGAGATCAGGAAAACTGTCTAAGTTCCAAACAACAAGCATTCAGATTGTGTTCTTGAACAGACCATGGGAGAAGCCGATTGCCAACATGATTATATATACACACATGTTCTAAAGGAAACTGGTCATGAAAGAAAAGGTGGAAGCTTCCCCTGATGACCTGTTCTTAAAATTCTGGGGGCCTGACTTTGATATCTGTCCTCTGAACACTGATTTAATGTCCTTATCATTATTGCTAAATACAGAAGAACAAACTAGCGCCAGCATATAGTGTCCCTAACCCGGGGCCCTAACATTGAAAGGGAACAGTGCTAATCACTACGTAACCAAAGTCACAGCATCAGGAATGCCGCACACTGAGACTCCTCATATTATTCTTTTATTACACAGCCAGCAGGTACAAGCTCTTATTCAGACATTCTCAAAGGCTAACCATAGAGTAACCATGTTGCCCATCTCCAGATGTCTCACTGTACTAACTCCTACAAAAGCTTGCACCATAAGAAATGCATCACATTAATGAGGTCTAGTGATGTTCCTTATTTCTTGTCCTTCAAAAGACCCTGCTGGCTACTAGATCTGACCACTTACCATCTTGGTTCCCCCATTCCCAGTCAGGTCCACGGACCACTTTGGCACCCTGGAAGATCCCTTTAAGCACTAAACGAGGCAAGCCTTGGCGGGGCGTCAATGAGACCCTGCATAGGGAAAAATAAAACAAGATGTCTGGTAATTAACATATTTCAAGAAAACCTGTCAGGATGACTATTGCCTGTCTCTGCTGAAGCTTTCCTCCTGAGCTGAAGTTCTCCACACCCTGAAGTGGTGCTAAGAAACACACATCCCTCTATGGCTGTGGTTCTCTATTGTGGGTCGTGACCCCATGCTCAGTGGGCCGCCACATGCCTTCCACTGCACTAGGCGAGAGGCTCCTCAGCCTCCCCCATAGCGCAGCACTGTTAGTTCTCGTGCCGAGCAGGCATTCACAATATGCTGCCTGGCGCTGAGTGTCAGCTTGAGGTGGGGTGGGGTGGGCTGGAGGTATGGCCGCGAGGGAGCTCCATCCATATGTGCATTGCTTACAACTCACTCGCGTGACCGGCGTGGCATCACATTCTGGCTCCCGGCACCTCTATAGGGAGTGCAAGAGAGCTGTACAAGCAATGCACATATGGATGGAGGAGTTCCGTCACAGCACAGCACCCCAAACTGAACACTTACATTGTGTATGTTTGTGTAAAAATGTCTCTGAGTGTGTGAGATTGTGTCTGGGCTTGTGTGTATATGTCAGTGTTTTAATCGCACCTACTGTTCGTTCTGGTGCAGGAGGTGCATTGCGTTACAATTCATTTGAATGGCACCCCAACACACCTCCCCCACAGTTTGATCACTTGCACCAGAACATGTGGTACTGCAATGCCAGTCGTTCCAGTGTGATGCAACTTAATGACCAAGGACAAATGTGGGTTCTGAGGTTATACAGGTTGAGAACCACTGCTCTATGGGATACTACATGGTTGTATTCTGCCCTGGAACTAGCACTATCAAGCAACAGCAACCTCTGGAGCTTGATGGTAGACTTGGTGGAGACATGCAATAGATGTCCTCACAGGCTTTCTTAATATAAGGCTGCATACAATTGTAAGCTTTATTGAAGATTTTCAAAGGACGCGCATAACAGCATTAGACGATACAGCCTCATAGTTAACGGATTAATCCAGTCACAATTTGGGTTTTGGTTCATGCTCCAAGAGCTAAACCACCTAACCATTTGTTACATCACTCAGGATCTCTCTTGGTGAGATATCAGAGTTCTTGGGTTTGCTGTACACATTACAAGGGGTTCCAACTCTCCCTGATGGCTTTGGCATTTATTTATTATGAGGGATGCAAAAACAAAGAATTAGAACACACAAAAGGTGGCTATGAACACCCGACATTACATATTATGCATACGCATTATTATATGGCCAAGTTTCTCCGATTTTTCATATGTGTGCATTATAAATGAAAAACAAGCCATTACAATGGAGTTAGATGCATCAATAAATTACAAAGAAAGTACAAGTGCTAATATACAAGCTACAGCTCCTCTGAGATATTATTGCGCGTGGTATGGCCAACCTCCTCCCACTGAGTCTTTCTCTCCGCTATCAACAAGCTTGACCTCTTTTTATCACATCTACACTGCAGCAATCCCTGGGATATGTTCATTGTGATTGGCACTGAGATTTTGCACATTTCCCCTTAAACATCAAAGGCGCTACGGGTCACTCTCTCCGCCGCTCACTGCCAGTTTTAACAGCAGATTATCCTTCGGCAAGCAATGTTAATTACCTCTGGGATTGTCTCAAATGACTTTGCTGCTCATTTTCACAACATGCCAATTAGAGAAGGACAAAATGTATCATTTACCAACTGCAACAATTCTCCCTCTGCCAAGAGCATTTACCAAACCAATAAAAAAACAAGAACATTCTTTTTATATCATAAAAGCTCTTCATTGTTTCAGATGTTTCACATCCTGTCCTTTACCCAAAACTGGGACATCCAGATAACTCGTCCTTCAGGTGTCCCTGCATGGTGCTAGAGGGAACCGATTGGTTGCCAAGTGTTACAGAAATTTTTGTTTTTTTCAGTTGCCTACAGAGAAGTTATTGAGTCTATAGGACAGTTTTAGCACCGTCTCTCTCATTATTTAGGAGCATGCCTCCCTCTACTGGTAAAATCCGTCCATACGGGTTTAGATCTAGAGAACTACTGTTGTCTCATATTTACGCGTTTACAAACTGGCACATATAATCACCAATTGTGAAGAACAAGAAAAAAATCCCACACGCTAGACTCTTAGGCCCCATTCACACTGAGTGATTTATCGTGCGGATTTCCGCGTGGTATCGCGCATATTATGCGCGCGATACCGCTTTACAATACAAGTCTATGGCGCTGTGTGCGTCGCTGCTACAGGACCCTTTTTTTGCTCGAATGTCGCACGATTGTACTCGGTCCAATGCAATCATTTGCGCGATATCGCAATCGCGCAAAATGACAATCGCGCGATTTGCAATCCGCTCAGTGTGAATGGGGCCTTAAAGTAGAACTCCTGTCAAAACAATGCATTTGTTTTTGGATAGCGGAGGAGAAAGGTAAACCTCTAATGAAGAACTCGAGCCAAACTAATTGGGTGGACAAGTGCTGACAGTGGACACGGAATGGTGTCACCTCGCCAACTGCTGACTGGGGATAGACAAAAATAAAGCCGTGTTAACGTTTTTTAAATAGGAGGGTTGTTTTTGCACTGCACTTTTTTTTACATTGCGGTGTCTATGAAGGAGAATCAGTGGTCAGAAAACATAATCTGGGAAGGAGAGGAGTGAAAGAGACCAGTGGGGAATTCAGAGGAAAAGGGAATGCACTGGAGGACATACTGTAAACTTGTTGATGGTTACCTATCCTTGCACCTACACAATATATGACATTGCTTATGGCAACGTTGATTTTCCAGGATGTGTTTTCCCAGCCGATTACTATTGTTCCTCACTATACAGACATTTCACCCACAGGGATCCCCTGCCTTCATCCATGGGCACAAATCTGCATGTTTGTCCAATTTAAACTTTGGTTTGTAAAAATGTCATTCATTAGAAAAGTTATGTTGTAGACAGCTTAAGAAGGGCACAGACCGTGCCAGCTTATCACCAAAAGTCACATGAAAATCAGAATTTCTGAGTCCTCTGATCAGCATCCTGTGGTTGTTTTTTTCTGTATACCCAGTTAAGACTCTAGATATAGTCAGGGTCAACGTGCAAGTCAAGAGCATTTAGAAATACAGAAGCTGCCGTTGCTGACTTGCTGGGGCTGTCATCCTGAATCTTCCTTCACTATTTGCCGAATCATTAAACGCAAACAAGTATATCACACGTCCAGACACTTTGTGGACTGTATGCTTGCCCCTGGTCTGTGACTTGCTACGTAATGAAAGATAACTTGCAACTCTTTTAGATTGTAAGCCCTCACGGGCAGGGCCCTCCTTACCATCTTGAATTGTATTGTAATGTCTTCCTTATATTGTAAAGCTGCACAAACTCTTGGTGCTATATAAATCCTGTATAATAATAATAATAACAATTTCAAAATCAAGTCTGCATTAGTAATGATTTAAATATATTTTCTTATTTGAAGGCAACTTTTGCAGGGAACTGCCATAAGAATTTCTCCCCTTTGCCATCTGAACTGGAAAATGGGGAGATGGAAAAGAGTAGACCAAGCTTGTCTCTTGTGAATGATGCCCCTTCCAGGAAGAATGATCACGCTACATTACAGCAATTAACAGATTTGTGCCTGAGAGAGTCTCGCTGTTTCAGTAGCTCCTCTATGGCTGTGTATCTCAGCAGTTGGAACTGATGTGCAGCCAAGATTCTCTCCTTCCCACAGAGATATCTGTGAATTGATCGGCTGTCTTTAGTAGCAGCAGTAACACTCCACGCAGGTGGTAGCCTGGCTCGGCTGTCACACTAATCACCCGCTCTTTCAAGTGTGAACCAAGATTTCACAGGAACGGGCACATCACCAAAGCTCAGGAAATTATCTAATTCTGATCAAGATTATTTTATAGCAAACCTGCCAACTTAATTCTTACACTTCAGAGCGTCCGCCTGCCCCAAAATCAATATGTTAGCAATGGATGAATGCTACAGAGCTGAATGACTGATTGGCCGCTCAAGACATTTTTTGCACCATGTCTGACAGTAAACTTGAAGCTGAACTTCAGGTAAACAGCTGACTACACCAGATTCCCTCTCAGCTTCATTCCCCATAGTTTAAAGGGGAATAGGAAGACACGGGCACTCCAAACTGGTGGAAAACACGTCTATATTGATGCATGTGTTTAGTATAACATAATGTACTGGGTCTGCACAGGGCATCACATAGCTCTGCCTGATAAAGGGGACCCTGCGTGGCCCCGAAACGTCGCTTTTATGTTATACTACACACGCGTCAATAAAGACAGATTTTCCACCAATCTGGAGTGTCGGCGTCTTCCCATTCCTGTATTCTGTCGGCGCCATCTGTTTCTTACCATTGCACCTGATAACATTTATGGACCATGTGGTAAGGAGTGCGATGGGTTCATGGACATTCATAGTTTGTGTTGTGTTTTTGTATGTAATCTCTTCATTATGTTAAGGACTTAAAATAAAGTTTTTAATTTTTTTAGTCAAATAGGAAATGCTGCTATTGAATATTTCACGTTTATTTCTTTGCAGTTAGCAGGTGGACTTTTCACATGATAACCTATGTAAGCTGCTCTGTTGGAAGAAAACCTTAACAGGGCTCAATAGCTTCAACAGAAATTTACATACACAAGTAATTGAATCAAGAGGGTGAATCATCTGCTCCCCCCTGTACAGTGTTTTTATAAGGCCATATGCAGTTTCAGCCAGGGAGCGACAGTCTAAATCAGCGTTTCTCAACCTTTTTTCCATCACAGCACCCTTTAAAAGTGTCCAAAATCTTGGAGGCACCCGAGTCTAAAATATAATTGATATTAAGAAGAGACCCCATGCAAAAAAGTTCCCCCTTTACATTTAAGTCTCCCCTTCAGATCAGAAGACCACCCCCTCACATGAGGAGCTCCCATTCACATCAGAACCCCCTTCTTTCCCATCACAAGCTTCCCTCTTCACATCCAAGTCCTCGAGGACGAGTCCCCCTTTAACGTCAGAGTCCTATCATCACACACTAGGAGATGCAGCTGTGAGAGCATGGCAGATGATGGGAGGTGGAGCAGGCCTAGAAGGAGATGAACTTCTGTCCTTTTCTGAATGGATCCCCCCCCCTCCCTGGAATAGCGTCACTGATCCCCATGGTGCAGGTGGCCAGTCTGCCTTCACCATGGAAAGGCAAAATGTCAGGCACCCCTGAGGAAGCTACAAGGCACCACACGATGCCATGCCACCCTGATTGAGAAAGACTGGTGTACATGCACACCCATAATGTAACAAATAAAAATATATCATATAATGTACTCATATCTATTAAGGTTTTACAAGCAAACCTGTCTTCAAAAAATGTATAAATCAACAATGGCACACCAGGGTAAGAAAGATAAGGTACCATGAACATGCCTTCTGTTTTTTTAAATCAGCCCTCTAGATCACCATGGCAGCCACCAACATCTTCAAAGTCAACACATCTGGACCCCACCATATCCTACAATGCAATATTCCGTGCCAGAGTGATCTCAAGGTCAAAAACTACCAAGTGGGAGGTCCATGCATGACATTTTCTAAGCTGCTATTTGTATGGAAAGTTTGTGGGGCTTCCACTGCACTCCAGAGAACTGGTATAAAAACAGAGGAAAGCACTAGCATCTTATAGTGTCTGCCTCTATGGAAATGTTTTGTACTGTTTGTTGTAATGATACAGTCCGTTAAATATAAGGCTGGTAATGATAAAAATTTTCGTGTTCGATTAATCGAAATTTTTAATTTATTTTTAAATCGATTAATTTCGATTAATTATAACGCATATACAGATCCAACTACATTGGCCTATACACATACAGCAGAGCAATGAAGTAATAATATGAACTAGGATCACACTAATCCAGCACGTTATTAATCTCCCGTGCCCCACTCAATATGGCCGCCGCTTGAGTGGGGCAACTCAGAATAATAACGTGCTGGATTACAAATGTATTTACATAGTATAGTAAAACAGCAAAGCCCTAAGGGTGATTTCAACATAAGTATTAGCTTAATATTTGAAGTAGCAGCACCTGTCCATTCCATTTCATGTAAGGACCTGATTGCAACATAATATCAGTAAATTTCAATGGGCACATTTCTGGGAGCGAGATGGGGAGGAGGGTTAATGGAGAGCCACATAGTGCATATATATAAGTTTAAGATAAGACAGAAGCTTGGTGCTTCTTGGGCAAACTCACCGGCCCAAGTGGCTCCGTCGGCTAACGAAGGAAATGGTGGAGGAGTCCGGTGACGTCGATGTCTGTGACGGTACTCCCGGAAGCCGGCGGAGAGGTGAGTCTTTTCATTTTGGATCAAAATAATTTTAATTGATCAAAAAGTTTAACGATTTATCGAGGAATTAATCGTTAATTTCCCTGGCCCTAGTTAAATATTAATCTGAAATCAAACAACATGGATAGTGACATTTGTAATAAAGGCAGTGACAGGTGAGTGGAGTTGGAAATACAGGAAAGGAGCAAGATCTTTCTGCTTTAGTCCCCGTGTGGATAATTAAACCTGCAGCATCTGCTCAAACTCTAAACAGTTTTGGTGGACTGAGATTATAAAAATGTTTGGGAAAAAAACACATGGACTAAATTAAGTGTTTTTGGCTGTCTAGACTAGAGGTCTTCGAAGCAGTTTTTGTGTGGTGGTACTTACGGCCTGGAATGGGCAGTTTCATATCTCTCAAAGGCATGGGAAAGGTCGTGTTTGTTGTTCATGTAACACTGCGTGCACAGATCGTAGTCAAAGCAGACTTTGCACTTCCAGCGCATGCCGCGAATTCCGTGCTTCTTACAGCAGTCGCAGATTATATTTGGATGGCGGACACCTGCGGAACAGGAAAACTTGGGTCATGGTTACTGGTCACAGAATACAAAACAGTGAACATTAACAACACAATCATTTTTGTACTCTGTAGGATGGGATTATTGGGCAGGATGTAAGATATGATTGGAAACCATTACTCCATACCAAATTTCCTTCATTCTGTAGGTCTATTCTGGTAAGATTTTAAGACTGTTACATACTGCCCAAGAAATGCTTCCTATATATTTGTGTGTTTTATATTATATCATAAAAGCCAAAATAACCACACGGAACGGTCAATGACATAAGCCTGGCTTTCCAGAATCCATGAATAGCATACAATGTATTTACTCGCACAACATTGGTCCTAGGCAACTGTGCCCCTTACATTTTTTTGCTTCTTACCCTTACATATGTGCTTATCGACGTGATTCTAAAATGCACAGATTCTATCGCCAGTCACAGGGTATTAAAAGAGAACTATGAGGTGACCTTTTTATCCCATAGCTCTCTTTAGCATCACGCGATGACATATACTAACCTCCTCCCGTGACCCAAAGCTCAGTATATAGCAAGCTATATATGGAGAGCACCGCAGCCGGGACGGATCCCGACAATACTGTCGAGATCCACCCATCTGGCTGAATCTGTAGGGAGATAATCGGGATGAGCGAGCAAAGGTGTGTGTTCACTCACTTCACGATCTATAGAGCCGACGTGTGACAGTTTCAATGTTACACGTCGGCTCTAACCATGAGGATGAGTGTAAATCACTCACCTCATAGTTCTCCTTTAAGTTCCACGAAGTGCTTTAAGGATGTGAATTGGATCCAAGCTGCCTACATACCAAAAGGTGTAATATTGGTGTTGGAATTGATTGGTCTGCTGTTCATTTTCCATAACCTCCTGTATCTTAGAGAACCAACCAATCTCTAATAAAGTCCTACTGGTTTTCCATAAACATGTTACAAGGGATTCAGACACATCCAACAGGTGAGGTATTAGGGAGTTTCTATATCATTTTGTGGGAGACAGTTTCTCAAGGAGCAACACGGGCATTGGGATGTAGGGAACCCTGATTTGAAAGTTCCATCCAAAATATTGGACACCCTGAACCAGAAGGACAATATTATAGGCCATGCCCCCCTCTGCTCACATCTCCTCCAGCAGCTCTCAGAAATGCCCGTATCCCAGACTTCTAAATGAGCGGATATTCTATGCCACCTAGAGTACAATTTTCAGCATTTCTGTATTTTAGAACTAATGAAGAATACATGCGCTAGCTTTGCTATTTTCCTTTTTTTGGGCCATAATGATAACTCTCTTTTCTTCATACAGAAGGGAACAAGCTTTCCACTACATAGTACAATCAACTAAGTTGTGAAGGTAAGTGACAACGGATAAAGCTGGTTCGGAGATCCAAAACGGGACAGGCAGGTCATTGTTGGTTCTAGTCAATAGAAGATCTGGACCTCCACACAAATAAAATAATGCATATATGAAACCAAACCATCACTTATTTGCCTAGCAGGTCTCTTCTGTTTCCTGTGCATCAGATCTGATTTCCTGCAGAGCACCCAGAACCCCAGAAAACCACAATGTTCTGATGTGCAAACAGCAGCCAGTCATTGAAGGAGTTGGCTGTGGTCCATCCCCTCCTAGACTTCACAACTGGCATATTACTAAGATGAGTGGCCACACTAAGCAATAGCTTGGTGTTGGAATAGGGGGGAAGCAGGGTGTCCACCCAGAGCAGCTGGGGTCCCGGGGTTCTCTGAAGGAAACCAGGTCTGGCCCCCACCTCACCTGAAGGCAAAAAAAAGGGACAGATTTGTATGTTTTCATTCTAACATGTAGACATTAAGCTTGGGACCCCCCTTAAATACATGTAACTGAAATACCCTTTGAGGATATTTTATATCTGCAGAGCGTTATCATAAAGGAACTTGCAGTCTAATGTTGTTATTAGTTATGCAAGAATGAATACATTGCTTACATAACTGCAGCAATTTTGAGCTTTTGAGGGTACGTTTTTTCCCTGCAGTTTTGAGGTTAAGCCAACCGACCCACCAGCATGCGATAAGTTTTTGGGTAAAATCTCATGCAAACGTGAAGAACATGCAAAACCCAGTACGATACTGCACTTGGTAGAACTTAAGCCCAGAACGTGTGCTGAAAAGCAAAGTTTCCACCCACCACACCTTCACTTTGCCCAATTACTCAAAATGATTACTCACTGAAAGTACATTGTTGTTTTTAAAATGGAATTAAACTGTACACTTAGCTTTGTGATAACCAGAAAGGCATTATGCATGGAGGGCATCTGTGTGAAAGTCAACAGAAACCTGTATGTGAGCAATGCAGCACAGATCCCACAGCTATTTAGGTCAGGTGACCTAAAGCTGTCATGACAGGTCACATGATCCACAGCAGCTCTGCATGGGGTGGAACGGATGTCAGCATAATCCTTATTCACTTTTACTGAAGACATTAATGCCCCAGCGTGCTGCGGCTGTGGATCCAAACCATCTGGACCAAAAAGCCACCCTCCTCAAAAAATCTTCATTCAACTATTACAGTATAGGTTTGATTTGAAGTGGAAACCTAATAAATACTAATATGAGCCGACACTCAACTGGCAGATTCCCACTAAACTCCACAGACATGAATCTTTTTTGGTCTGTTGAGTCGCTGGAGTCATCACGTACCTGTCTGAGCATTATCATACAGCAACAGATCATAGGCTCCTTGGAATCCAGTGCGGTAGTTTGTCCTTGTGCCATGATCCCACTGAACCACAACTGTTTTATCGGGTGTCGTAGGGCTGCCTTGTCGGCCAATTTCAACCACGGTTCCCACGCTTCCCTCTCCATTGTCCTGGTTCACCCACTTCCAGTCCACACCTCGAACCACTCGCATTCCCACCTGCATGGCTGCAGTACAGTCCCAGTCCATGTTATCCCTCCAGGGTAAGCATAGAGCACATTAGGAAGTCTTTTATCACTTGAGATGAAGGCCAGGACAAAATGCCAACGTAGTATTCTCTATTTAGCCCTGGAAAAAATAAAAAGATTTTAACATAGGCACAACAACTTTAATGCATTTTCTTTATTGCACATTTTGGGAAGCTATACAAGCCACTTACAAGGCTCATTGGGAGTAAATAAAAAAGTGTTTATTGTGCAATTACTCTTTCTGTGTCCACAGCAGTTGTTTGTCCCTCATAGATGCCCCTCATTACACTGCATACAAAATGGAGGACTACACACACAGAACACTGGATGGCAAAACTGAGGTGTGCTTGTAGAAAGGCTTCCACTTCTATTTCCTGCGTGCTGAAGAGGAGACACTTGTGCCGTTTTCATCTGATTAGACATCGACAAGCCTGAGGACTAAAATAAAGCTGATAGCTTGTTCCTATCTGGGCTACTGGCTGCACAGATAATTCATTCATTTAAATGCATTACACCGGGGCCGTGCTTGCCATCAGTGGTTTAAGATTCATGTAAAAATAGTCAATCTTCAAATGGTATAGGAGATTATTTTTTTATATATCTATATAGATATATATATTTAATCTCACGTGCCCCACTCAATATGGCCGCCACTTGAGTGGGGCAACTCAGAATAATAACGTGCTGGATTACAAATGTATTTACATAGTATAGTAAAACAGCAAAGCCCTAAGGTCCCGTTCACATGGAGCGATTTATCGCACGGTAATTCCCGCGATATCGCGGCAATTTACCGCGCGATATCGCTCTCCAATGCTTCTCAATGGGGCAAAGGGTCCTGCTGTCGCGGGTCGTGTGTCGCTACAGCAGGACCCTTTTTGGAGCGGATTTAGCCGCGATTCAAGCTTGCTCAATGCAAGCATTTGCGCAATATCGCGCGATTTGCGAACCGCTCAATGTGAACGGGGCCTACGGGTGATTTAAACATAAGTATTAGCTTAATATTTGAAGTAGCAGCACCTGTCCATTCCATTTCATGTAAGGACCTGATTGCAACATAATATCAGTAAATTTCAATGGGCACATTTCTGGGAGCGAGATGAGGGAGGGGGTTAATGGAGAGCCACATAGTGCATATATATAAGTTTAAGATAAGACAGAAGCTTGGTGCTTCTTGGGCAAACTCACCGTCCCAAGTGGCTCCGTCGGCTAACGAAGGGATCGCTGCCCAGGTTCTTGATTGGTCAGGAAGCCAGGCAGCCTCTAAAGCCGGTGTTCTTTCGCAAGAACACCGGCTTCACAGGCAATCAGAAAGACGGGCGCCATCCGACTTCCTGATAATCAGGGCACAATCAACCGGTACTCGGTATCAGCGAGTAGCAGGAAAAAAATATCGCTACTCGTACTCGATACTGAAGAGAAGGTATAGGTGCATTCCTAATTATATATATATATACATACACACACTGTATATATACATACATACATACATACATACATACATATACGTTAAATGTTATGTGATTTTCACTCATACGAATGTGTTGTGTCTGAGTTTCAGCTGGCCTGAAACCTGGAAACACCACATACAGGACTGTCCAGGTGAATCCAGGACAGGTGGCAATCCTACACTTGTCCCGGAACTGTGCCAAAGGCAAAAGAAGACTGCCAATAAGGAAACCTGTCGCTTTTCCCAGTCTAGCCAAGGCACAGGTTCTCTTTAAACCCTTAAAAAAAAAATCTACAGCAGACATAACAGCATACAGGAACTGCGGGGCTTTTCCTCTCCTGTAATCTGTCCTGAAAACACTTCACATGACATCAAAATCTCTGCAAACACAAAAGTCAAACAACAGACACTGATAGGCAGAGATAGATTAAATATTGTACAGTTCACTGAAGCACCAAGGCTTAAATACACACAGGCAGAGCAATAACAGGATTGTCATTTCAGTGCGTCTTCCTGTATTTAATCTGTGCCACAGCATAATATCATATAGTCCCTGTAGGTGGCTGAAGGGTATTGATTTTTTTAGGGGAAAAACTAAGTTTAATAAAAACACAAAATGAGGAAAAAAAAACTTTTTTTCCATGCAAGTTATCACTTTTGTACAGTTGCCTGCAACAATATTTTAAAGGCATAGTGATTATGGATGGAGCCTCACTTAACATCACCCTATATATTATATTAGAAGCTGAACATCAGGTAAAGAGCTACATACAGAGTTAAAAGAAATACACGGAGCGGATTTCGCTGCCAAAGGATTTGTCATTTGAAGCCTGTTCGGAGAGTTACACAGCCCTGCAGACAGCAGAGCCAGGTTGGTGACCTACCTTTTCCAAACTGCAGTTAAACAATACAGCTTCCTGCTCAGAAGAGTGAAGCACAGAAGTGCTAATGGCACTTAAAGCAAATGTGTCATGGGGGCAATATTTTAGCTGCCATTGGTTGGTGTTACTTCTGAAATGCTTGCTGTTTCGATGTCATGTTGCTTCTCTGGTTTCAATACTTTCACCAACAAGAGCCAAGAGCCATTTTGACTTTACTTGCTTCATGCTTGCTCAGGGTTGGGGAAAGCACTGAAGCAAGAAAATTAAAGCAGACCTAGACTCGGTCAACCATATGCATCAAACAGTGCAAACCAGGTCATGTACTGATTATGTATTACTTCTGATAGGGTACTGTGAGGCTAGAGGAACGCAGTGTTCCTAGGCATAGTCATTAATGTTCTGCTGCCTCTAATCAGGAATTATATACTAAAAGAACATCTTGTTACTGACTTGCTTTGTCCAATTGAACTGTGCTGGTCAATCCCTGTTAGCCCAACTTCTTTAAATAAAGGTCCACTTTAACATGACAGCCAGGCGACTAATTAAACCAGCCAGGCGACTGGTGCAAAACCATCTATTGGAGCTGGCCTTACCTATCTCCTTGCTACTTGATACCCTTAAGAATCTCTTCTCCAGTTGAGGTTCCCCCCGCTGGAAAGGTAAGCCCTGATGAAGAGAAGGTAAGCCCTGATGAAAAGGACAATTGTGTATCCCCAAAACATGTTAGCTGCTCCATAAAACTGTCTCCATTCCATAAAAGAAGATTTCTTGAATGTTAAAACCTTGTGGAGCTTCCTTATCTTTACCTTATAGACTTTACTTCGAGGACCAAGTATATGGCCATGGGGTTTCCTTCCTTCACTTTAACCTAAAGACTTTACTTCAAGGACCAAGTATATGGCCATGGTGTTTCCTTCCTTCACTTTAACCCAAAGACTTTACTTCAAGGACCAAGTATATGGTCATTGTGTTTCCTTCCTTCTCTTTAACCTAAAGACTTTAATTCAAGGACCAAGTATATGGCCATGGTGTTTCCTTCCTTTACCTTAACCTAAAAGCCTTATGTTAAAGTGAAGGAAGGAAACACCATGGTCATATACTTGGTGCTTGAAGTAAAGACTTTACTTCAAGCACCAAGTATATGGCCAAGGTGTTGCCTGCCTGTAGGTAGAAAGGTCCCTGTATTAGTTTGGGATACCATCTTAGGACGGAGTCCATTGCCTCTCGTTTCTTCATGAGGTTTACATTAATGGCAAACAATAGTCCTGTACTTTTTGCTGGTATAATGGTAGTTGAGTTTTATTTGACACCTTTTTACTTTTTTTCCTCCAGTCACGTCTTTCTCACATTTATAAAAAGCTCAAGTTATTAATATTTTCCGGTATTTGCCTGCTATTCATTAACAAGTATTTTCCACTTTTAACGGAAATGCTAAAATATATGAATGTCTAGTGTTTTTTGTGAAGGACAATGTCAGGATATGGTTGCTCAATGCCTTCAATGATTCCAGTAGTCTACGACGTGTTAGGGTCAACACTTAATTGTAGCTTTAGCTCTATTTATGTGTAAAAAGGAAGCACTTTTAGACCACTTATAGTCCTCACTGAAAGGTGCACAAGCACATGGGGAAAAACATGCGGGATGCTTGCAGGTGAAAATGGTTGTGCGTGTGGCAGCCCTTTACTTGCATACAAACACCCATCGCAAAGTGTGAACAGGGCCTTAGACATTGCCAGCATAAGAAATAGAAACCAATGTAAGTAAATATCACTTTCAGTACGTTTTTGTGAACGGAATCCCCGGCCAATCAGGAAGCTGGGAGGGAGATCATTACTCGCCACTCGGCTCGATGCTGAATGGCTGGGAAGCTGGTCTCCTGGCCAATCACAATCGAGCCAGCCAAACAACATGGAGCGGGCTTCCCGGGCAATCAGGAAGCCGGGCGGCATGTAATTCCCCGTCACCTTTCTGATTGCCCGGGAAGCCGGCTCCATTCCAGCTGAAGCACCGCTATATGTACTCGGTATTGGCGAGTACCGAAAACTAAATATCGGTACTCGTACTCGATACCGAAAAACCAGTATCGGTGCATCCCTATATATAATGTTCATTATGATAGAGAGGACTGTCAAAGACTACTGACATACTAGAGGAAATGAACGTCAGAGACCGGGAACACCTACAGGTTTGGTTGGAGACTGAAGACATGCTGGAGAAAGTGAGTGACAAAATGTAGACATGAGACTATAATATTAATACAACAAATATCCCCCAACAAATGGAGATCCCCCCCCCCTTGGGTTATCTAACCAAACCTGCCCTTTTATATCGCCGCAATAAATAGGACTTTTATTATTATGAATATACAGGATTCATATAGCACCAAGAGATTACGCAGTACTTTACAACATATGGGAAGTCAGGACAAGTACAATACAAAAGGATTAGAGGACCCTTCCTTGTGAGAGCTTACAATCTATTTGAACTTTACCACGAAAAACACATAAAACAGTTGAATAATAAAAAATAAAAAAAAACTTAGGTAGTCACTTAAATTGCTAACGCACCGCCAAGTACTTGCCCTAAGGAGCCAATCCACGACATGTCACATAGAAGTGTTGTAGGACCGGTTTGAATTCTGGTCATGCAGCATTCATATAACCAGAAACAACACTTGATTTTAAACCCCGTTGATTGGTCACTATAACATCCATGTCATTACAGCTTAAACCTGGTCACAATGCCCACCCTAGTTAAAATCAATGAACA